TCATCTTCCTTTCTCTCTCTCTCTCTCTCTCTTTCTCTCTCAAATCGCGTGAAATCTTCATCATGCAACATTTTATTATACCCTATCGTTAATTTTACTTTACTCTACATTCTGCCTTATAATTAAAAAGAAGTTGCAGTTACTTACATCATGTACGAGTGTATGAGTGACTTCTCGCGCTTGAAAAAGGTATGTGTACATATATACGTTACGTTCGCTTAGCTTCGCTCGGCCCTTTCTCGCTCTCAATCTAAATTTTCTTCACTTCTTCGTGTCTTGCAACGCGCTCGACAGTCGCATCGGCCGCCTAATCACCCTGCGGTTGACATTATAGATTAATTCATTTAAAGATATGATCAAGAATACATCCGAATGTGTAACATAGGAATGTAATCGCGCATGGTAGTTTTTTTTTCACACGGAAAAAAGGCGAAGATCGAGCGATTAAATGAGTTACTCGTATTAACATGCCTCCTGTGTGTGTATATATATGATGTGTATGTATATATTTACATATATATCCTCCCAATACTTTTTCTTTTTTTTTTATCTTACATTGGTCATATGATTCTTGTCCCTGAAGCGTAATTCTTGCCACAAGTAAGGGACAACTGCTGTTACAATAATAATTGTCTTGCTTTCCTCTCATACGAAGTGGTTGCTTGTGTGTCATACAATCGATACATATACATGTATAAATCTCTATGGTATTGCTAAAAGGATTATATTAGCCTTGTCGTGCAGCGTGTGACATGCGATAGAAAATGCTACGATACGAATGAAGCGCTTCTCGAACGAAGAGATCGTAAAGATAGGACGAGATCGCGTCGACAATCGGATTTCAGCATCAACCATTCTCTCTTTCTCTCTCTCGCAACACTATCATTTTCTTAAATTTCTTTTTCTTTTTTCTATGATACAAATCTTTCCCTCGCCGATGAGATCTCATCCAATCTGGCGATATTCAAAAAGATTCCTTTCAGATTCTCTCGTTCTGTTTGAGCCATTCTGTCAGACCTCTCGTTCTCGTAGAAGTTCAATGTCTCTTCGATTTTCGCTAATTTCTTTCTTCTTCTCCGTAGAAATAGAAACGAAGTTTTGGAATAGGCACTGCACGTCGTCAATTTTGCCTCATCACAGTATCAAACAATAAAATGTACATTTCACTGCGAAAAAATACACATTTCAAGAATGTGCGAAAATTTTTGTCGTATTCAAAATATGTTTTGGCTACAAAAATAGGGCACGCGCTTGTTCCTGTCTTTTTTTTCTCCACTTTTTTTTCTATATCTTTTTTTTTTGCTTTTTTAGATCTTTTTGATTGATTGCCTTAATCAACGCTGTGAAGATATAAATACTGTGAAGATATAAATGTGTGTCTAATTGTAAGATACGTGTCAACGTCGAGCTAAGGATATTAGTCGAATGTTTTCTCTGTCCTATTAATATTCTCTTGGCAAATCCTATAATCATTTTACTACAATATATTACACCAATGTGCATCACTCTCTCTTTTCTTTTCTCATTTTGTCAACCTCTACAGTTATCCATACCCGCATCGTGTGATATAAAACGAGCTTCCGATAATCATCAACATTTCAGTTATCGAATACATGATACGTTAATAAAAATTTCGCTATCAAGGTAACATTATTAATAATTTGGATAATCTGAAAAATCAAGACGGCAAAGGCGTGCGTAAAATATTGAAATCGATACTCGCCGTCGTCATAACTGTTTCGTAAAAGATTTGAATACTTCTGAATATTTCTACAAATTTATATCTCACATATCACAATTATTTTTAGATTAATTTTAGAATCAGTTTTTCAAAAAATGTTTTCAGCGACAATAATTTAAGTAACAAACACGAAAAGTATGCGTATATTCCTGCACCTACAGAAAAGGAATTAATTAAGTGGAAAAACTCGTGGATCTGATAGTAAAAAAATGTCTCTAGAAAATTTAAAAATCAAACATAAAACACATTAATTTCGCATAAATTATCGATATATGTATATTTTCTTTTATAATTTTTACTTTGTAAAAAATTTTAAACGAGATCTCTTACTTATATGACATATTATCGCCACATATAAAAAAAATATATATCTGAATTAAGTATTTATAAATTTGCAGCGATATATGACGTAATTGCATTAAGAAATTTATAATCATTTATTATATGTTATAGAATAACAGTCACATTAGTGCGGTATTTTTATACAATTTTGAATATATATACGTACATATGTATATATATGTAACATATAAGATATACATATATATATTATTTCTCTATATATACATATAATTATAGAGACATATATGTGTATATATATATATGTGTGTGTGTGTGTGTGTGTGTGTGTGTGTGTGTGTGTGTGTGTGTACACATCTCAATTACTGATGCAAGAATCATTGAAAGAGAAAGTCGAGTAATAAGCAAATAAATAATTAAAAATCAAGTTATTAAAATCATAACAATTTCTAATTAACAATTTCATCGAAGAATATTTATTATAAGATAACATTTGGAAAAAATTTGTTTACTTTACGCTTACGACTTGATCTGCTCTGTTTGAATAATTGGATCACATGTATGAATTAAAATTAATTAGTCGATATAATATTTATCTTCTTTTCGCGAATATTTTGTTAA